ATTTTTAAAAATAAAAGGGAAAAAAAAAAAAAAAATTAAAACAAAAAAAAAATTTTGGAAAACGGCATTTTTTTTTTTTTTTTGATTATTGAATCGCTCAGAAGGTTGAGAGAATCCAAATGGTTTTGATTTTGATTTTGATTTTTTCCCTTTCACCACCATCACACAGAGATGATTCAGGAACTCAGAAGGCGTTGATTGATTAATTCTATAAAATTCTAAAATTTACAAAAAAAAAATTGGTAAAAAAAACAAAACCCAAAAATAATGGAATTTTGAAAAAAAAATTTACATGAAAAAAAACAAATTAAATTTGAAAAAAACGAAAAACTAAAAATGACTAAAATCAAAACCAAAAAAAAAATTAAACCAAACATAAAACACAACCAAAAACGAAATGAAATTCGGTATGAGAAAAAATGGCGACCAAACAAAAAAAAAAATTATTGAAAGCAAGTGATGATGATGATAGAAATTTAGTTGTTCAGGCACAAAAAAAAAGTTCCAGAACATTGTATAGAAAGATTCTTTCAATCGTTTTCTGATGAAACCATTTTTTTTTTTTTTTGGTAACCTTTTTCATTAGCCAGTTAGTTCAGCAGTATAACACAATCATCCACTGTACTCTGTTCACAAGCAAACAACAGTAACATCCATTTAGATTTGTGATTGGAGCGGATAGTTCCAGAAAAGGTGGAGCTTATATATAATGATGTTCAATACATACTATACAATTATTATAGTGTAGGATATATGATGTTGATGATGTTGTTTGGATTCAATACACACAGTCCATGCATAGTTTTTTTTCTCAACCAAATTCCTTTCACATTATTCTTGTATTCGAATTTGAATCATTCATAGAATATGTGATATGTTGGTTGAAATAGTTCAAAAAAAAAAATCGATCCATCATCAAAAATGATACCCAAATGTTTGTCAAAGTGTTATGTGCGTGGGTGTGTGTGAATGTTTTCCCCTTTTTATTTACCAGTTTACCCTACCAACTAACCAGACAACAACAACAACAAAAAAAGAGGTCAAGTCCACTATGTACTAAGGGGAATATTGATGCAGCTGGCATATATTCATTCATTTGAAATTCGATTGACCAAACCATTTGATGATACGATATATGATCAGTAAAATTGTATGACCTGAATGTGACCCTTACATTTCATATATTATTACCCGTTTTTTTGTTTGTTTGAAACAAGGGATTCAGGTTCCCAAACTGCTGCTGTTGTTGCTGCTGCTGTTGTTTGGTTGAACAACAACATAAAATGACCGATTGGACACACGCAAACATATACACGAGACCAGCATTTGAATTGATGAATGATGACATGTTTTATGTGAAATGAGAACTGGAAAAAAATGAATATGTGTACGCGTGTATGACACACGAATGAACGAATTTTGCACGTACCAAATTTCCACGAGCCAATCCTTTTTTTTCCATCTAAAATCCTTACCATCCAAACCAAACAACAATAATAAAATGAAAAAAAAGGTTTTGATCAAAGCATTTTTTGGTTTAGTTTAGAAATCAATCCTATGATCAAACGGTCATTCAGGCCAAGTTTAATGGACTCGACTAATATTTCACATATACAACATGATGAAATACACCCACACCCAAACGTCATCAAAATCCAAATGAAATTTTCATCATTATAATCATCAAAGAAGAAAAAAAAATGTAGAACAACATCTGGTATAATAAACAAAACAAAAAAAAAAAAAAATACAATATGAAAGGATATGATGACCATCAACTAACAGAAAGATTATCCCTCCATTGAATTGAATGATGGTC